GGGGGAGTAAACTGCCGGGGCTTTTATAAATTTTTTTATGTCAAAATATACAATTTCTGCAATCCTTGTAAAATTCCACTTTGCTGAGAGGTATTGCTGCCACTTAAGCCTGGCTTCCATCTGACCTCAAGTTCTGTGCTGAGATTCGGCAGCGGGCCAGGAGCAAGGGGATGAGGATTCTCCAAAATCCAGCCTATGATGAGAAATCCTTTTATGTTGAGTTTTGTCTTCAGGTTAAAATAGAAATATATATTTTTTAGGGCTGTTAATGATTCAAAAATTTTTGTTCGATTAATCAATTTTTTTAAAATCGATTCATTTCGATTAATTATAACGCACATACAGATCCAACTACATCGGCCTATACACATACAGCACAGCGATGACCTATACACATACAGCACAGCAATGACCTATACACATACAGCACAGCAATGACCTATACACATACAGCACAGCAATGACCTATACACCTACAGCACAGCAATGACCTATACACCTACAGCACAGCAATGACCTATACACATACAGCACAGCAATGAAGTCATAAAATGAACTAGGATCACACTAATCCAGCACGTTATTCATCTCACATGCCCCACCCAATATGGCCGCCGGTTGAGTGGGGCAACTCAGAATAATAACGTGCTGGATAAGGCCCCGTTCACATATAGCGACTTATCGCGCGATTTCCGCAGCGATATCGCGCGTTTTTGCCGCGCGATATCGGCAGAAGTCGCCGGCCAATGCTATTCAATGGAGCTGTCTTAACTCCATGTCGCGCGTCGCAAATCGCTTCTACCGGACCCTTTTTTCGGCGGATTTTGCGCGATTTTGCTTTTTTTCTATGGAGCCCGACGAAGAAGGTTGCGCTACCGTCGCTGGATCGTCGCTGGAACGTCGCCCCGAAAGTCGCGCTATCCCGGCCACTGCAAAGGTATGTCGCTACATGTGAACAGAGTCTTAGTGTGATCCTAGTTCATTGTATAGGTGCCAAAACATTTGCATTTCCTTATTCTGTTCAGACCTATAATGTGCCAAGTCGGGGACTTGCTTATAGTACAAATGTAGGGCAATCGGGAAACTTGAACTTTCAAAAACAATTAATCCTTGTCGACCATTTTATTCACAAGGTAGAAACATTAAAATTAGGGCTGGTAATGATCAAAATTTTCGTGTTCGATTAATGATAACGCACATACAGATCCAACTACATTACCCTATACACATACAGCACAGCAATGACCTATACACATACAGCACAGCAATGAGGTAATACAATGAACTAGGATCACACTAATCCAGCACGTTATTCATCTCGCGTGCCCCACTCAATATGGCCGCCGCTTGAGTGGGGCAACTCGGAATAACGTGCTGGATGAGTGTGATCCTAGTTCATTGTATTACTTCATTGCTGTGCTGTATGTGTATAGGCCAATGCTGTGCTGTATGTGTATAGTGGAGAAAGTTTCTTGGGCAAACTCACCGGCCCAAGTGGCTCCGACGACAAACGAAGGGGGAAGGAGTCCGGTGACGTCACGGAGATCAACGTCACCGGACTCCTCCCCCCTTCCCTTCGTTAGTCGTCACAGACATCGACGTCACCGGACTCCTCCCCCCTTCCCTTCGTCAGCCGTCACGGAGATCGACGTCACCGGACTCCTCCCCTTCCCTTCGTCAGCCGTCACAGAGATCAACGTCACCGGACTCCTCCCCCTTTCCCTTCTTCAGCCGTCAGGGAGATCAACGTCACCGGACTCCTCCCCTTCCCTTCGTCAGCCGTCACGGAGATCAACGTCACCGGACTCCTCCCCTTCCCTTCGTCAGCCGTCACGGAGATCGACGTCACCGGACTCCTCCTCCCTTCCCTTCGTCAGCCGTCACGGAGATCGACGTCACCGGACTCCTCCCCCCTTCCCTTTGTCAGCCGTCACGGACATCGACGTCACCGGACTCCTCCCCCTTTCCCTTCTTCAGCCGTCAGGGAGATCAACGTCACCGGACTCCTCCCCTTCCCTTCGTCAGCCGTCACGGAGATCAACGTCACCGGACTCCTCCCCTTCCCTTCGTCAGCCGTCACGGAGATCGACGTCACCGGACTCCTCCTCCCTTCCCTTCGTCAGCCGTCACGGAGATCGACGTCACCGGACTCCTCCCCCCTTCCCTTTGTCAGCCGTCACTCCTATACACATACAGCACAGCAATGACCTATACACATACAGCACAGCAATGAGGTAATACAATGAACTAGGATCACACTAATCCAGCACGTTATTCATCTCGCGTGCCCCACTCAATATGGCCGCCGCTTGAGTGGGGCAACTCGGAATAACGTGCTGGATGAGTGTGATCCTAGTTCATTGTATTACTTCATTGCTGTGCTGTATGTGTATAGGCCAATGCTGTGCTGTATGTGTATAGTGGAGAAAGTTTCTTGGGCAAACTCACCGGCCCAAGTGGCTCCGACGACAAACGAAGGGGGAAGGAGTCCGGTGACGTCACGGAGATCAACGTCACCGGACTCCTCCCCCCTTCCCTTCGTCAGCCGTCACGGAGATCGACGTCACCGGACTCCTCCCCTTCCCTTCGTCAGCCGTCACAGAGATCAACGTCACCGGACTCCTCCCCCTTTCCCTTCTTCAGCCGTCAGGGAGATCAACGTCACCGGACTCCTCCCCTTCCCTTCGTCAGCCGTCACGGAGATCAACGTCACCGGACTCCTCCCCTTCCCTTCGTCAGCCGTCACGGAGATCGACGTCACCGGACTCCTCCCCTTCCCTTCCCCAGCCGTTAAACTTTTTGATCGATTAAAATTATTAACGATTAATAGAGAAATTAGTCTTTAATTTCCGCAGCCCTAATATTTCTATATCAGAGAGGACTGAGGGAGTGTTGAATGATATACCCGTTGCATCGGATGGATTGTGTAGAATGACAATAAACAATTATTATATGTAAAAGTAGCAATTTGTATATTTTTCAGTAAGCTGCCGAGCTGGGCGCGTGCCGTGGTACCGAAAATCTTCTACGTGACGGAGAAGGCGTGGAACTACTACCCGTACACAATCACAGGTCAGGCGCGGCTCCGTCTCCTCGAGTATTGTAATGATTCACGTCTTACGTTGTCACCTTCCCGATTATACTCATCATTTCCTTGTTGTTCTCTCTCTCTCTTACATTGTGTCCTCTGGTGGGATCTGGGCGCAGAATATACGGTAAGCTCTCCTCTATTGTATGCTCTGTTACAATGACCACTGTTACGTGTTTGCATTGAAGGCCGTCCTTCTGTGATAGGGATCCTGGGTGGCCATTTGCTATGATCGAACCCTTCAAATCACTTTCAGATCTCAACGAGCCTCTCCTAAAAATTATTATATCTGCAGCTCGTGGTACCTTAGTGTCATCAGTAAGCTGTAGATATAAGTGGTGGCCAGTGGGGGGAATGTCCCTTACATTGGGGGTCAGTGGGAAGAATGCTCCTTACATTGGGGGTCAGTGAGAAGAACGCTCCTTACATTGGGGGTCAGTGAGAAGAACGCTCCTTACATTGGGGGTCAGTGAGAAGAACGCTCCTTACATTGGGGGTCAGTGAGAAGAACGCTCCTTACATTGGGGGTCAGTGAGAAGAACGCTCCTTACATTGGGGGTCAGTGAGAAGAACGCTCCTTACATTGGGGGTCAGTGAGAAGAACGCTCCTTACATTGGGGGTCAGTGAGAAGAACGCTCCTTACATTGGGGGTCAGTGAGAAGAACGCTCCTTACATTGGGGGTCAGTGAGAAGAACGCTCCTTACATTGGGGGTCAGTGAGAAGAACGCTCCTTACATTGGGGGTCAGTGAGAAGAACGCTCCTTACATTGGGGGTCAGTGAGAAGAACGCTCCTTACATTGGGGGTCAGTGAGAAGAACGCTCCTTACATTGGGGGTCAGTGAGAAGAACGCTCCTTACATTGGGGGTCAGTGAGAAGAACGCTCCTTACATTGGGGGTCAGTGAGAAGAACGCTCCTTACATTGGGGGTCAGTGAGAAGAACGCTCCTTACATTGGGGGTCAGTGAGAAGAACGCTCCTTACATTGGGGGTCAGTGAGAAGAACGCTCCTTACATTGGGGGTCAGTGAGAAGAACGCTCCTTACATTGGGGGTCAGTGAGAAGAACGCTCCTTACATTGGGGGTCAGTGAGAAGAACGCTCCTTACATTGGGGGTCAGTGAGAAGAACGCTCCTTACATTGGGGGTCAGTGAGAAGAACGCTCCTTACATTGGGGGTCAGTGAGAAGAACGCTCCTTACATTGGGGGTCAGTGAGAAGAACGCTCCTTACATTGGGGGTCAGTGAGAAGAACGCTCCTTACATTGGGGGTCAGTGAGAAGAACGCTCCTTACATTGGGGGTCAGTGAGAAGAACGCTCCTTACATTGGGGGTCAGTGAGAAGAACGCTCCTTACATTGGGGGTCAGTGAGAAGAACGCTCCTTACATTGGGGGTCAGTGAGAAGAACGCTCCTTACATTGGGGGTCAGTGAGAAGAACGCTCCTTACATTGGGGGTCAGTGAGAAGAACGCTCCTTACATTGGGGGTCAGTGAGAAGAACGCTCCTTACATTGGGGGTCAGTGAGAAGAACGCTCCTTACATTGGGGGTCAGTGAGAAGAACGCTCCTTACATTGGGGGTCAGTGAGAAGAACGCTCCTTACATTGGGGGTCAGTGAGAAGAACGCTCCTTACATTGGGGGTCAGTGAGAAGAACGCTCCTTACATTGGGGGTCAGTGAGAAGAACGCTCCTTACATTGGGGGTCAGTGAGAAGAACGCTCCTTACATTGGGGGTCAGTGAGAAGAACGCTCCTTACATTGGGGGTCAGTGAGAAGAACGCTCCTTACATTGGGGGTCAGTGAGAAGAACGCTCCTTACATTGGGGGTCAGTGAGAAGAACGCTCCTTACATTGGGGGTCAGTGGGAAGAATGCTCCTTACATTGGTGAGAAGAGACAAGACCAGTCACCCTGCACAAGCAGAGAGCGCATCAGTGACCGGTCTATATTACAGGAAGCTCCGAGTCTCACACGGGATGACTGCACAGATCTGGAAGAAATACACGAAGCTCTCCGAGATTCAGGAAGAACGCACAGGGCTCTTGTATGAGGACGATATTTACTCATCTGAGTTCAGCTTTAAATTTGCAGACATGAAAATGAGAACTCTGTTGCCAGGCAACGACATAAAAAAGATATATTATAAACTTTTTATATCTCATGTTATGACGTCTTTGAAGGTCCTAAAAATAATATTTGACGTGACCCTTCCAATCCTCGCGGGGGGGGGGGGGGGGGGGAGGGGGGACAAGACGCAGCAGATATTTCATATAAATCCGGAGATGGATTGCGGAGATGGCGCGGTGAGGTAATCCGCTGATGTCAGAAGGGGTCTTAGAGGGAATTTAATAACGAGGAGAGATCACCAGAAATCCCGAGGTGAAGAATGACGGCGAGAATCAGCGAGTACCGAGAATAAACTGGATCAGTACTTCTTCAGGTTCTTCGATTTCAGATCAGCGGAATCTGCCTCTTATGGAGCAGGAAGAATGAAACAATATAAAAGTCGTATTCCTGTTACAAAGTATCATCTGCAGCAGATACACTGACATTGCATGTTTGGGTCAGACTTTGTCCTAGGGATGCACTGATGCCGGAGGTCCTATCACGGAAAGCCGGGCGGCGAGTCATTAGCCGGGAAGACGTCTCTATGCCGTCACCAGGTGACGTGGAAGCATGGAGCCGCCTTCCCAGCCAATGAGGAAGCTGCGGTCAGTGTGTAATGGTTCACCGCCCAGCTTCCTGATACCGGAAGTTTATCGGGATCGGGAGCATTAGGACAAGTACTCACTCAAAGTACTCGGTGCCCAATAGAAATTCTAGTTTCGGTGGATCCCTACTTTGTCCCTCTGTTACTGCCCTGAGCAGCCCAAGATACCCCCATGTCCCTTCTTATTGATGATGGGCACATCGCCCGGCACTTCCCACAATGCAATGCTCATTGCCTACATGACCTAATAGCAGGCCCGTGCCTTACCACCAGGGGAAGGGTCCTGAGAGGGAGTGAGAGAGGGAGAGGAGAAAGGGAGAGAGAGGGAGGGAGAGAGAGGAGAAAGGGAGAGAGAGGGGGAGAGAGAGAGGAGAAAGGGAGTGAGGGAGAGAGAGAGGGAGGGAGAGAGAGAGGAGAAAGGGAGAGAGAGAGAGGAGAAAGGGAGTGAGAGAGGGAGAGAGAGGAGAAAGGGAGAGAGAGAGGGAGTGAGGGAGAGAGAGAGGGAGAGAGAGAGGAGAAAGGGAGAGAGAGAGAGGAGAAAGGGAGTGAGGGAGGGAGAGAGAGGGAGAGGAGAAAGGGAGAGAGAGGGAGTGGGAGAGGGAGTGGGAGAG